CTTAACAACCGGGCTGCTAACTTATCAAGGACACAGATTCGCTTAGCAGCCGAGGCAGGCGGAGTCGTAAAATGGGGCAGAAGCTCACTTAACAAACGTCTCAGCAGAAATTTTGGGGCCGTGTTTGCGGCCGTTTCGCGGCGCCCCGCAGTTGCACAACTGCGGTTTACGATGTTTTCTTAATGGCCAACATGGCTCGTGGCCACCGTTCCAGGCTCAACTTCTGTTGTAAGCCGAGGACTGTCTGTGGTCCTTGTTGATCTAACCGGCAACCTCAACCTCCTCCTCCTCCTCCTCCTCCTCCTCCTCCTCCTCCTCCTCCTCCTCCTCCTCCTCTCCGCAGCTCTCCGGCTTTACGTCCGAACCCCGGGAGGTCTGCAGCTGTTTGTACGACCTGAAGACCGTCCTCTGCAAATCCTTCAGTATCCTTTCCAAATGGGGAGCACTCCCCAGGGGTGGGAGACAGGGGGGGGTGCTTTGACCTCTGCTAGGGAGCCCCCCCAAATCCTGATCTGATTTGGAGGAAGAGGCGGGAGAAAAACAGGACGTGCTTGAAAGAGATGGCTGCTGGTCTCTCGAGTCCAATCCGTCCTGGCCCGGGGTTCCTACTTCTTGCCTGGCGGGAGAGTTCCCAGCAGGGCAGGGCCGGCCTGGGCCCCTGGCAGAATTCGCATCTGGCCCAGCAGGAGACTCTGGGACGTTCTTCAGAGTCATTGGGAAGGGAATGCAGTTCCCGGTCCTATGGAGGAGAAAGCTTGGGGAGTGGGCCCGCGGAGGGTTTAGAAATGGGAGGGGGGCTTCACACAGCCACCCCCACCTTGCTGGGGCTATACAGGCAGTCCTCGGTTTACAACTGTTCATGTGAGGCCACAAAGGCACTGAAAAAGTGGACGTGTGACCGTTTTTCACATGTAATGACCGTCGCGACTTCCCCGGGGTCACGACACCAAAACGCAAACAGTTGGAAACTGGCATGTACCTATGACGGGTGGCAGGGGTCACGTGATCCCCTCGGCCCGCCTTCCAGCGAGCAAAGTGCTCCTCGCTTAACCACCGCAGGGATCCACTTAACAAGGAACGCCATAAGGCGAGGCAAAACTCGCCGAGCGACTGTCTCGCTTAGAAGTGGAAACCGCGGGGTCGTAGGCCAAGGACTGCCTTTTAATTCCCGCCCGCCCCCCGTCCTCCCTGCCCCCCCCCCGATTGCTGGGGGCTGCTCTAGCTGGGGAGAAGATCCAGAACTGTCCTGTTGACCTCAACCTTTCCCGCTCAGATCTGGAGGGCCTGTTCAACCTGATGTGAGTCTTGACCTCCACCCGCTGGGCATGGCAGCGCTTGGAGCTGACAGTCAGAATCCGGGGGGGGGGGGTCCCCGACTTAACGACCTTTCCTGTCCTCTCCTTAGTCCGCAGGGGTAGGCCACCTTGGCTCTTTTATGACGCGTGGACTTCAACTCCCAGAATTCCTGAGCCAGCAAAGCTGGCTCAGGAATTCTGGGAGTTGAAGTCCACGCGTCATAAAAGAGCCAAGGTGGCCTACCCCTGTCTTAGCATCTTCTGGTCCTCGGATTGCGCCGGCTGGGAGGGGAGGGGGCGGCGGGGGGGGGAGGTCTGGCGTCTGTGCCCACCACCTCTTCTCCTCGTCCTCTCCGCAGACAGCAGAAGACGGAGCTTCCGGTGACGGAGAACGTCCAGAGCATCCCTCCGCCTTACGTGGTCAGGACCATCTTGGTCTACAGCCGCCCGGCTTGCCAGCCGCCTGCCGTGCTGACCGAGCAGATGAAGGTGCCCGCTTCCTTGACCTCACGAGGGCCCCGGCTCCTGGGGGCAGGGGGGGCGGGGAGGCAGACAGTTTTCAGGAGCACCCAGAGTGTCAGGTAGACGGATCTCCAGATCCCAGCGAACAGAGGTGACCGNCCCCCCCCCAAAAAAAGATGAAAGGAGACCCCTTTCACTGGAAACTGCTTCCTGGGGAATTAAAGGCCTTGGGGTGGGGTGGGGGTCAAGGGTCAGTTGATGAAAAAATGTGACTTAACCTTCCTGCGAGTCGGGTCTGTTTCCCCTTGAGGGTCAGTTGAATTCCAGTAAAGTTTGGAAAATCTTTTGGCGAGAGACTCTGGTCTTCTTCCGCTTCTCCAGACGTGCGCCTGGCCTCACCCAGGGGACTCCCGGCTACTTTACAGTAGTCCGAGACTTACGGACATGCGTTCTGAGTTATGACGGTGCGGAAAAAAGGCCTGGTCCTCGAACTTATGACAATTGAAGAGCGTTGCGGCGGCATGATTGCAATTTGCATGCTTGGCAACCGTCTTGCTTTTACAACCGGTTGCAGTGTCCTGCAGGTCCCTGCTGGAGATTTATCAGCTTTTTTGCCTGTTTCCGGCAGAAAGACAAAAATGCCCATGGGTTTGCACTTACAACGGCAGTGCTGGCTTAATGACCGTGGTAATTCACTTAAGGAATTGCCACCATGTTGCAAAAATGGGGATAAAATCAGATTCGACTCAGAAATACTTAAGACAGAAATTCTGGTCCCCTGTGGTCATAAGTCAAGGTCTACCTATATGGCCTTTGAGTTCCTGCTTTCTCCGGCCTCTTGTGGTCCATGACAAGCACAGAGCTGGGTTTTCATAACATGCTCAGGTGAACTTTGCCCCTGCTTGGGTTCCTGTAACATGTTGACTCCAGGGAAATGAATTAACCAGTGGGACGCCTTGTCTCCAGAAGTTGTGCGGATTCTCCCTGTTCTGTCCCAGCCTACGTGAGTCCTTGTTGTTCTCACAAGGAGAAACCCCTCTTCCAAGAAACAGGCAGGAACCGCAAGAAAAAACCAACCCCTTTTATGAGTCACAGACCTGAGTCAATGTCCAAGGCAAACAAACACAGTCCACAGACACTCGATCCTCAACACAAACGGTTGCCTCCCACACCTTCCCTTTTATTATGCAGCCAAGGCATGGCTTCCTAATGCCTTCTCCTTTGCCTTTGGAGCCGCATCATTGCATTCCTCTGTCCTACTCGCTTCTCTTGCCTGCGCATAGTATCTAGGATTTGTCCCAGCTGTTCTTCATCACTGTCCAACTCAGGTTCCCAGCACAGCTGTGTCTCAGCCTGAGCTCAAGTAGAGGGGCCAGACTCCTCGTCCAACTGTAAGTCTTGGAGCTCCTCAGAGTCTTCCTCTGACTCTGATGTCACTCCAGGCCCCTCCTTCTATGATTCCTCAGACTCAGCTGCCGGGTCCACTGGCTGGCGAGGAATCACAACACCTCTCTGAAGACTTTGAAGAAGAGGCTGGACAGCTGTTTATCTGAAATGGTCTAAGGCAGTGGTGGTGAACCTATGGCACTCGTGCCATTGCCCCACCAGAGTTTGCCAGAGTAGCAAGCACATGGCGTTTGGAAGCAACAGGGCAGGAAGTGAGCGAGCAAGCAGCGTTGGCCCCCCGGGGATGCCCCAGAGATGGCAAGGGACTGGCCCCCGCTGCCCTGGCCCTGGCCATGCTCACCCAGTCTGCTGTGACCACTGCAGCCATGCCCCCCCAGTGGGCCACACCCCCTGCCCCCCCAGGGCACCACAATGCTGATGCAACCCTGGCACTTTGCGATAAATAAGTGGGGTTTGGGTTGCAGTTTGGGCACTTGGTCTCTAAAAGGTTTGCCATCACTGGTCTAAGGTCTCCTGCCTGAGCAGGGGGTTGGACTAGAAGACCTTCAAGGTCCCTTCTGTTCTGTTAAATTAATGGAAGGTGCCAACATAGAATGGGCAACTCACAGCTGGTATGTTTTATTTTTTTCTTAATTTATAAGGCCACCCAACTCACAGGGACTTAAGGCAGCTCCCCCAGAGGCGGTCCACGCAATGCATAAATTCATCAGACTGCAGGAATGCAACGTGGTCTGCTAGTGGTACACTGGAGGGTTGCCCGTCGTCCAGTTGCAGCCTTGTGCAAACGACACTCCACACATCCTCTGATTCCCCTAGGCCTCTCTTGCCAGCTGGGGTTGGTGCTGTGGGGGGGACAGCTTTCCTCAAATCCGGGGGGACCTTCTGAGGATGGAAAGGGGCATTTCAAGGCAGCTCCTGCAGAGATGGCCCCATTCCTACAGGGGAGGGAGTCTGGTTCGGCCTGGCTTCTTCTGAAAAATGATGGAAATTGCATCCTAATTTCTCAGGGTGTCTGACTGCCCAGCACAGGCAGCCCTTGGCTCACGTTTTCTTTAGTGACTATTCAAAGAAAAAAGAGAGACTTATGACTGTTTACCACCCTTACGATCGTCACAGTGTCTCCCGTGGTCACGTGATCAACATTCAGACGTTTGGCAGCTGACTCACACTTATGACGATGGCAGTGTCTCTCCTGGGCTGTGTGATCCCCTTTTGTTGGCTTAATTATGGCTGTAAATTGAGGACTAACTAACTGCTGCTAAGGAAGAATATTTTTTTTAAATCTTCATCTAAGGCAGGGGTCTTCAAACTTGGCCCTTTGATGACTTGTGGACTTCAACTCCCAGAATCCCCCAGCCAGCATGAATTCTGGGAGTTGAAGTCATCAAAGGGCCAAGTTTGAAGACCCCTGATCTAAGGCTGCATTTCTCACTTTGAAGATGGGAGGACTTCAACTCCCAGGATCCCCCAGTCAGCATGAATTCTGGGAGCTGAAGTCCACCCATCCTCCAGTGCCCGAGAACCAGAAACCGGTTTAGGCTGCGGTTGCAAAATCTCCAAGACCAGCAAGTTTATATTAGAATTCCTTGGCTGCAACTAACGCTTCCCATGCAGGTTTAATAAGGGTGAAGCAGTTAATTGGTGAACAAATGCAAATAGGAAACTGAAGTTTGCAGCGTGAAAAACAAGAAATCCCACTTCAAATAAGCGTGTGAACCCAAATGCACGTCGAAGCAAAATGGAGACACGTTTTAAATCGTCCTGATTTCATTTCCCACGAAATCCCACATAGGAAAGAAGGGAGAATTAAACAGAAACCTGACTGAGCCGTCCATCAACTCCTGTGAGCCAATCCTATCTGATTCTATCCAGGAAATAGGCGGGGGAAGGAAAGGAGGAGGGAGTATCGTGATTCTCAAACCAATCCGCGCAAGCCTGCCTTCTTCCGATTGGGTAGGTAAGCGATCCGTCAGGCCGGTGACGTATCGCGGCGGCCTTCCAATGAAAAACTCCGAGGAGGCTGGGAGGGAAGCTTCAAGCGACGGGAACAAGATGGCGGCGCCGTGTTGATTTTGCGGCTTTGCAATCTCTATGGCCGTCGACCGGGATGAGTTCGCTCCGTCGGGCCGGGAGGCGCTGACGCGACCGGCCTTGCCCGCCTCAGGGCGACCTCAGCGGAGCGGCCGCTCCGTTCCGCTCCGCCGCCTCCGGGAGGCGATGTAAGACGCCGTTCTGCCCGCTTGGGAAGAAGTGCGCATGCGCGCCAGGCACGGCCCCGCGCAGGCGCGCCTTTTCCTTCCCCGCGGCCGCCCCCTAGCGGCGCCATGAAGCACAGCGCCTTGCAGCTGGCGGCGCGGCTCTGCCGGGCTCTGCGAAAGCGGGACGACGCGTAAGTGGCTCGTGGATCCGCCCGCGCGTGGCTTCTGCACGCTTTGCAATAAGGAGAGCGGCTCTCCGGACAGGAGCGGCCCCGTCCCGTCCTCGCCTCGCCCGAAAGCTTGCTTTGGCCCAGGGTTTCCGGGTGCAACTGCCTGCCCGCCACTTGCCAGGTGTTGCAGTCACCTGGAGACAGGTGCAAACAGCTGTTGCAGAAGCACTTTTGCGGGGCGCGGGCCCGGCTGGCCGCAGAGAGCCCGGAGCGCTGGCAGGGGCAAGGAGCGGAGCCTCGGGGCTCCAGGGTTAGGGAGGGTCAGGGGCCAAGCCTGGAACCGGTGCGGGGCTCTTAAGGGGAAAGGGCCTCAGGTAGCAGCAGCCGCTCCCTCGCTAAAAGGAGGAGAGGCTTCCCTTTTTTTTTGCATGGGACGGTAGTTCTGCACCTCTTCTTCCTTGCCGGCTTCTAGAATTGCAAGGGACTTTAGAGGTCATGTAGGCGGACCCTCTGCAGCGGAGGCGGGCGGCTATAACGACTTTAGGACCTGTGGACTTCAACTCCCAGAATTCCTGAGCCAGCCATGGCTGGCTCAGGAATTCTGGGAGTTGAAGTCCACAGGTCCTAAAGTCCTTATAGTTGCCCACCGCTGCTCTGCACACTCTCCAGCCTCTGTTTCAAAATGTTGCTGGAAAAGAAGGGCTTTTAAAGGGAGGGGGCAGCTAGTCCTCCTCCTCCTCCTCCTGGCTCACCTTTCCTGCTGGGGACCCTCCCTTCTTCAAGCTAACCCCCCTCCCTCTGCTTTCCAGGATGGTGGCTGCCCTGCTCCAGGAGGGAGCCAACCCCAACTTGGTCCTGCCGGACGGAGTGGCCGCCATGCACTTGGCTGCCGGCCTGGAGCAGGAGGACGGGATCTGTCAGTACCTCCTGCACCTGCTCCTCCAGCACGGCGGAGACCCCAACATCAGGTACGTGGAGGGGGCTCCTTCCCTGTGAACACACAAAGCTGCTGGTTGTGTCAAGGCAATGTTGGAGGGAGCAGAGTCGACCCCCAGCCCGAGAGGGACCCCCTCCAGCCAGAGGGACGTGGGGAGTGTAGAAACACGGAGGGAAATCCAAAGGTCATCTACTCCCACCCTGGGCAGAGGGCAGGGAAGCCAATTCAACTGGCTTGCCAAACTTTCACAGAGTCTGACTCACAGGGTTGTCGGATACAAACTGCACCCCTCCCCCAGTGCTTTAGGTGCCAGGGTGGAGTGAAATACAATGCAATCAGTCATGGGGGGGGGGCGGGGGAGGGATTCTGACCAAGACGTGCCCAAAATGCCAGGTGCTGCCCACAAAGACTGTCTGTCAAACACCTGGGAAATTGGGAGAGGCAGGCAGTTCAAATGGGTACAAAAATATATTACAAGCTTAAGCTCTCTACAAGAACCTGAGCTACTAACTGTCAAAGGAAATGAGCGGGAGATAAGAAGGCATTCCAGGTGGCTGGGTTTAGATCTCTTGTGGGCGGGAAGGGACTTGTGATTAATGGCGTGTTTGACCCCCCCCCCCTTCGGGCTCAACTCTAGAAAGAGTATAGAGAAGAGCAACAAAGATGATCAGGGGACTGGAGGCTAAAACATATAAGGAAAGACTGCTGGAATTAGGTATGTCTAGTTTAATGACGAGAAGGAAGAGGGGGGACATGATAGCAGTGTTCCAATATCTCAGGGGCTGCCATAAAGAAGAGGGAGTCAAGCTATTCTCCAAAGCGCCTGAAGGCAAGAGAAGAAGCAACGGGTGGAAACTCATCAAGGAGAGAAGCAACCTGGAACTAAGGAGAAACTTCCTGACAGTGAGAACAATTAACCCGTGGAACAACCTGCCTCCAGAAGCGGTGAATGCTCCGACACTAGAAG